TATACTTGTCTATCTGTCTGTCCGTCTTGTAGTTTTATGTAAACTAATATGTTTTGGCCAAAGGACGTACGCTATTGATGATAATGCTTGGGACCTTATTTTGAGGTGTTATTTATTATTATCTTCTTCTATGTACATTTTCGTAAATCCTTACCACATCCATATTTCTCGGATAATATCAAGAGTTTTTCAAATACGAATATTCATACGGATGATAATCAAGAGATTGTCGGATGTATGAGAGTACAAATCAGTTTACAGTGTAAAAGACATATTTGAACCAAATATAACTTAACCTTTTTATTTATTTATTGATATACAGTTTTTTTTTTTTTTTTTAAACTATACAATAGAAAAAATGTCTGAAAAAAACAAAGGGCAGACGGATTAACGGATTAATCATAGAAATATATAGATGTATGACAGGTTTTCTGTTAAGTACTTCTTAGATATATATCCGAAATTAATACAAAAAAAATTTTACAAAAAAAAAAAAAAAAAAAAAAAAAATACACAAATACAATCTATTATAAATAGAACACAATAGATTTTTCGCATGCAAAAGTTTTCACAACTTGTCAAAATCGTGTGTTTGTTAGAAGAAGAATTTACTAAAATTCCTTTGCAGGCACACTTACAGTATGTGTGCACGCGTGGGTATTTGTGCACATGGTTATGTCGTGTATATATGAAAATAAGATGCCGAAACAAACAAAAAAAGAAGAAGAGAAATTTGCAAATCTATAACCGCTTTAAAGCGATTATTGGATACCCACCACTATTTTTATCAAATGTATATTTAATTAATTTTTCTTTTTTTTTTTTTTTGTTGACGCGTCCCTTGTCTAAGGGGCTTTTCTCAACCCATTCATTTGATAAAAATTGCAACATATTTGGATCGAATTTTTGTGAAAATTTTAATAGATTTGTAGATCTTTTTCAAACCGTCGCCGCCGCCGCCGCCGCGCCCTTTGCTAAGCTAAAAGATCGCTATATGCTTTGTTAAGATGGCTGGGCGGAGAAATGTTTTTGAAAATGTCATAACGTCATTTCAATGCAAATAACTCGTGAGTTTTTCAAAGTGATACAATCGATAATAAAAGTAGTTTACGCCCATATTTCAATATCAGATGGACATAAAAAGTTGTGTTTTTGTGTTAAATAATCAAACGAGTCTGCGTGTAAAGCATTAATATCCAGAGCGAGAAAATTTTTGCACAACAACACCCCCACACAATGTTATCGCTAGTTGTCTGCTTTTCTTCTAAATCTCGCCAAAAACTTATCAACTATAATATATAAATACAATGCTATATATATATATATATATATATATATATGTATATAGTTTTTCCAATTTTGCTATGAAATGAGAACATTTTCGAATAAAAGCAACGAAACGCACGCACAAACACCAAAATCTGTTTTCGAAACAATTTTTATATCTTTGCGCCTACATCTTTCCAAAAATAATGCATACAAGTGGTGGAGGAATGAATCAAATTTAAGTTCTTTTCTTTTCTTTCTTTTTTCTTTTCTTCTTTTGCTCCCATTCGAATTGAGTTGAGTTACGTTTATAATCATTTTTATTTAATCATCTTTAAGATATAAAATAAAACTGTAATTATTTAATATTTACTTAATTCGAAGATCTAATCATAATTTACTAACAACTTTGTCGTCTAATTAAAATCAATTAGTCAGATTAGATAATTGAGAAAAGAATAATTATATATATATATATATATATGTATATGCAAATTACTTTCAAAAAGTCCAAAGAGCTTATATTAGACTTGCACTAAATCTTTCTTCGTGCAGCGAGTGGAGCGAACGGGCGTTTATAACAATCCAGGATGAGTATGAAAAAAAACTCGAAGCACGTACTGTATCTAAATATATTATGGATCATAGCGTAAGATTTAATTTAAGATCTAATCATGCGAAACCAAACATCATCATCATCGAAAAACCAATTTTCCAGTCGGCATAGATAATGTCCAAAGCCATATAAGCCATATAACCCATCACAATTAGCAAAATACTTTTCAATTACTATCGTTTCAACTCCCTTGCAGCAAAAAGTCGCCCCAAGTCTTATAAAACCTTTCCTTGTTCCAAGTCACATCCGAGCAAACACCTTTGTTAAGTATTTGCATGAAATTTTAAATGTATATATATGTGTGTGTATGTATATGTATGTATATATATGACGATATATTTATATATACACCAATAGCCTATGTTACTAGTGCTGTTCATGTGCTTCACTTCAATCTAAGAATCTCTCTCATTAGTATAACAAACAAAGAATTATATTAATGATCATAATAATGGATGCATAGAATCATCAAATGTTTCCACTTCTTTTTTTTTTTTTTTTTTATATATATATAATTATAAATCTAAATGGGTGAAAAATATTTATATGTACGTTGTACAGCTATCTCTATGCATTATATTCCACAAACAATGTCAAGGTCCAAACAATATATTCAAAAAAAAATTTGATCCAAATTTTAATCAGGAATACGTTTACTCTCGGAACCACGAAATCGATGACCGTACATAACTATTTTAGGTTTTAAGTCTTTACATTTTTGTTTTATTTATTTATTTTTTTTTTTTTTTTAAATTTTCTTCATTCGTAAGAAATAATTAAGAAAATAATATTCGATCGTGACCGAATCATTTTTTTAACCATCGTCGTCATTAGCTTAAAAAAGACCAAAAAAAAAAGAGCAAGAAAACATCTAAATTTTCATACCCTATAGTATTGGATGTGGCCGCCAATTGTTTTTTCCATTTCCAGAATAAAAGTGAACATTTATAAGGTGTATGTATGTGTTATGCTTTATTAGCGACAAGCAGAAAACACGGAAAGCAAAGGTGTTCGCAGTTTTTGCTGCACACGGTGTGGGCGTTGTAGGCGCGCCCTTTGACCAGTCTAGGTCATTCTCGAATTCTTTTGCAAGTTTGTAGGCAAGCGTAGAAGAGTGTTTACCATAAATACTGCACAGCTGCACAAACGGACAGATGGACAGACGGACATGCTTAAACGAGAATTTATATACTTTATGGGGTTTTTGAAGCTTATTTCTGCGCATTACAAAGGTATGGGAAAAAATTTATTTTAATACGCTATAATAGCGGATAGGCGTGGTCAATATTTCCCATTTTTGCACATATAATACAGCAGCGATCAAATTTTTGTAGGTTTTTTCTGCTGTAATTTATGCGTAATGAGTAAAAGACCGATTACTTAGTGCTTTTGAAGATGTTCTCAGTGTACGTGGTACTGTAGGCCTGTCCTTTTATCGATTTGGTCCCTTTTCAATAGCAACCTGCATGCAAGAGCTGCAGTGCTTCTGCCAAATGCGAAGCCAAAGTTTCGTTGTTGCATCCAGGAAAATGTGCACACCGACGGTTTGCCAGATATACTTAAATCGGTTCAGAACTTGATGCTGATTAAGTATATATTTACTTTATGGGGTTTCTAAAGCTTGCTTTGAAGCATTGCAAACATTTTGACAAAATGATTTTATGCCCATTTTATTCGAAGGATGAGGGATTTTCTCCAGAATATCAGAATTAATTTCATTTATTCTATTAGCCCTTTACACAAGGGGAATTCTCTACTCCACATGAGATTTGTAAGTAAAGCTAATTTCCGAAAATTCTTTAAATTCCTCGATGCTGTTTCTAGATTGAAATCTGAAATCTTCGTTAACTCGCCAGACCTGTCATTTTTCTAATAAATTATTGATATCTTAATTAGATTTCTGTTTATATTCTTCTTACTAACTGCCTTTTAGTAGACTTCCTATGTAAATGAAAATTAATTGTCTCTTTTCTCAGTTCTGGATTGGGGCAATTTTCTTCTCCGTTTGTGAATTTAAGTTTTCCAGATTTTTGCAAGTCTTTTTTTCTAAGTGTTTGTTAGCTCTAATCCTTCCGTATGGTCCAGTTGATGTAATTTTAATTCAGTGGAGCAAATATTCTGGAACTGCTGACCATAACGAAAGATCAACGTCAATGCCAATGTCACGAATGACAAACGGTGAAAAACGCTCAGCAAAATAAAGCACGATGCAGTAGTGATGTTGAACTCATTCTCCACAAACCACTTTCCAACTTATAATTCTCTTGAAAATCTACAATAACATAAGGGCTGTAAGGGATTTTTCGTTAATTATAAATATTATATTATTATATACTGCTAGCTTAGTAATAATAATCAAAATTGAAACCGACTTCAAGGAAATTTTCTGTTCTTTTAATTTTCAACAAGGAAGCTAACCGTATCTTAAATTTTTCAAGTCATATGATTTTGCTGTAATAATGCTATGGAATATATCGCATCATTCTACTTTAGAATTTAGAATATAGGATGATTGGAAATCGTTGTTGTACAAAAAATTCAATATATCAATGAATTACGAAAAGTTGCCGAAATGCCAAAATGGCCAAGAACTTTTAAAATAGCTTGAGCTTTTTCATATTCAAAACAAGGAGTATAATTGTCATGATTCCAATTTGAAAAGAAAATTTTAATTTTTTATATATATTTATATAAAAGTGACATTTGTACACACCCTGTATAAAATTGCCCATGTTTTGTGCCCCTTTGAGAATAAGCGTGAGTGTTAGTCGGCATTGCTAAGTAAGTGATGCCAAGTTTGCCTATACAATAAACACAGTCAATCCAATGATAAAGAACAAATATATGGTTTTTTGTAATGTTTTACGAAAGTGAGACGATATTAAAAAATCTAATCCCTTATGACTTCTACATTGTAATCATCAAATTCTATAGCTAAATTTTAAATACAAAAACATTACTCCTATATAAAATTGCTTTAATTGCTGTATACCTGTATAAATGATACCAAGTTTAACCTAGAACCTTGTTAGGAATAAATATATTCTTTTTTGTTTTTGTATGGAAAATATGTTTTTGCGAATATAAATCCAATTTAGAAAAGTTAGTTCTGTACGAATTTTATGTGGTTTCCGTTGAATTCTTTATCCGAATTCTATACAAACTGAGCCACAGCCATCACCAGGCTATAGGCAACATTTTGTAATAGAAAATGCATTTGTTTAGGAAATTTGAAGGTTTTATCATCGATAATAATATCGACAACCTGCGCCTTTAGAAAGTAATCGATTTTTTACTTTGTTTGAAGTTTGAATTGTAGCTATAGTAAAGCACACGGTTTTGTGATTGATTTCTAATATTAGTTATAAAATAAAGTATGAAAGAAGCGCCTTTATCTTCATGTGAGAAGAACTTTGTCATTCAAGCGATTAAGCAAAATCAGGTAAACGGTTAAATACTTAAATTTATACGATTAAGGTAATCTTATAATGCAAAAATTTGTAGCGCTTGGACGGCAGGAATAATGATGAATTTCGCAGCCTGAAAATTAATTATGGATCAGATTGGGGCAGCGTAATAGTGGCTTTAGGTGAAACGAAAGTGTTGGCTCAAGTATCCAGTGAACTAGGAGAGCCAAAAGCAACACGACCCAATGAAGGCATTTTGCATATAAACGTTGAACTGGGGCCAATGGCTGCCTCACATTTTGAAGCCGGCCGCAACTGCGAGTTGACTGTACAACTTAATCGTACACTGGAGAGAACATTTAAAGATTCCCGTGCTATAGATTTGGAATCATTGTGTGTTATATCCGAGGAGCGCGTTTGGATGTTGCGTGTTGACTTAAATGTTCTAAATCACGAAGGCAATCTTATAGATTGTTGTTCAGTAGCAACTCTATGTGCTTTAGCGCACTTTAGGCGTCCAGACGTAAGCGTCATTGAAGATGAAATTCAAATACATACCTCGGCCGAAAAAGAACCACTAAAAATGGTTATGCACCACTATCCAGTTTGCGTCAGTTATGTTATATTCGACGATGGCCGCATAGCAGTAGCCGATCCGACCGTTGCGGAGGAGCGTACTAGTGACACGGAAATGATTTTTGGCATAAACTCCTTCGGAGAATTGTGTTGTCTCAATCTAGGTGGCTCATCTCTTACCAGCCCAACGTTGCTATTACAATGTTCGAAAAAAGCAGCAAAACATGCCAAAAGCGTTGTGGACCTGGTTAAAAAATCCCTGGAAAACGATTCAGAAGCTAGAGAGGCTGGGAAAAAAGTTGGATTTACGGGATGTTTGCATCACAATACCTTAACCAGTTTGGGTGAAGACCGATTGGTTTTGAAATTAAGAAATTTTACTTTTAATGATGTTACTGAAGACGACGAGCCCAATAAAAAGATAGGTAGGAGTATTTAAATTCAAATATTGGCAGTTATTCTATGACTACTAGTTCTATTTTTAAATTATAATTTGCAGTCCAAGGAAAACTTTACAGTAATCCTCAATATAAGCCAGATACCAAATGGATACCTGAAGCGCCTTCGGATGCTAGTGACAATAGTGTTACCATGGAATCGGATACTGGTGGTAGTGAGAATCTAGAAGGAACAGAAAAAGAATTTTTAGAATGCAGTGACATCCAAACAAACTTTCCTATAAGTAAACAAAGGCATGCGATGAAGCAAATTACTAACAGCGACTCAGAAGAAGAAGAAAAAATTATTCTCTAAGTGGCGATCCGAGATTCCAAATTATAAAAAAACTAAAATAAAATTATATAATTAAACCAACCCAATTTTCATGATTTATAAATTTTTTTTCTCAATTTTTTATTGCCTTTATAACTATTTCGTTTGAAGCTATTTTACTCAATAAGTTGCCCTCGTTTTTCCCTCAAAATGGATGTGAAAACAACAACAAGACTCAAAGCAGCCCAAATTAAAATATATACAATGCTACTAGTATTAGAGAGAATATTATATACCGAGAAGTAACTTAAAGGTAACGTTGACTTAAAATCTAATGTGGATTTGAGACTGTTAATACAAAATTTGAAGCAAGCAACCCTTTACAGTAAACTGAGAGATTAAGAATGGTGATTTAAGTTGTGTCATTGTTTAGACCATTCTTCAAATCTAACTTGTTAGAATTAGATTTCACCATGTAGACAAAATAGGTAATAATTTCCTTCTCCTTAATAGGTATCGTTTTAAAGTGCTTCATAATAGTCTAGAAATAAAAATATACTTGGTTTAATTAATATAAATGATAACTGCATCCCGCAAAATGCTCTTACATCAGCAAGTTGTGCTCTTTTCATGCCTGGACGAGTTTGCAACTTGTAGTGACGCTTGTAGCGACGTAACGTATTGACTTGAAGCTGATAAAGATCTGGCGCTTCGGGTAGATCAATATCAGTGTCATTGCTATCATCCTCAGACTCTTTACGGCGCCTTTTCGAACGAGCCGATTGTATGCGATCTTTGTGGTAATCGCATATATAAATGTGCTGCGAAGTAGGATCGCTGCTCAATTTTAAACGCTTCTCTTTGACGGTTTTCTGTATACGTTTACTATAACTGGCGTTACCGGCAGGATTGCGGCATCTCTCATTTTCGTCAATTAAACAGCACGTCTGATCAGTATGACCTCCACGCGAATCTTCCTCCCCTGTACTAAAACCGTTGTTCATGGTAGTTAGCAGCACAATATTGCTGTTGTGGTTCTCTGATACAAAAAGATTACCTCCACAGATTTGCAAAACAAACTAGAATAAAATTCATATCTTTTCTATTTTTATATTTTTTCCAGCTGATAATCGTTTTTTTATTACGTGAATGGATGTGCCGTTGTGTCCTCTTGATATGTTCACTACGTTTTTGTATTTTAGCTTTACTTTTTCAAGAGTTTGATTTCTTTCAATTTGCGTAACCTCAATTTTACAATAGTAAACTAAAAATTTATATATATAATTTTACTAACAAAACAATATTGTGCGACGCATATTTTACACTCTCGTAAACTTGGATTTTTAACTAGAAAATTGTATACCGATTATTTTTTCTTTCATTAATTAGTAATGCCAACTAGAGCGTTTCTACAAATTAGGATAAATAATTTTTTTATATTTTTGGCGCTTTCTTCCATCTGTCAAGAGAAACGGCTGTTCATTAATAAAAAAGGGGACGAAACGGTTAACTTTTCCGAGGACGAATGAAAATTATACATCAAAAAAAATTTCAAGAAAACGCCGAAACTCCAATGTCTTTTTAAAACACTAAATGTAAACTAAAAAACACCAGCCAACCATTCACAGCGACATGCAATGGCAGTTCAAGTTGTATCATTGTTTACGCCATTCTTCAAATCTAACTTATTAGAATTAGATTTCACCATGTACACAAAATAGGTAATAATTTCCTTCTCCTTAATAGGTATCGTTTTAAAGTGCTTCATAATAGTCTAGAAATAAAAATATATTTGGATTAGTTAATATAAATAATAAAGGCATCCAGCAAAGCGCTCTTACATCAGCAAGTTGTGCTCTTTTCATGCCTGGACGAGTTTGCAATTTGTAGTGACGCTTGTAGCGACGTAACGTATTGACTTGAAGCTGATAAAGATTTGGCGCTTCAGGTAGATCAATGTCGGTGTCGTTGCTATCGTCCTCAGATTCCTTACGGCGCCTTTTTGAACGAGCCGATTGTATGCGATCTTTGTGGTAGTCGCATATATAAATGTGCTGCGAAGTAGGATCGCTGCTCAATTTTAAACGCTTCTCTTTGACGGTTTTTTGTATACGTTTACTATAACTGGCGTTACCGGCAGGATTGCGGCATCTCTCATTTTCGTCAATTAAACAGCAAGTCTGATCAGTATGACCTCCACGCGAATCCTCCTCCCCTGTACTAAAGCCGTTGTTCATGATAGTTAGCAGCACAATATTGCTGTCGTGATTCTTTGACACAAATAGCTTCCAATCAAGTTCTCGAGAAAGTTTAGAACTAATCTTATTTAATTTTATATATTTTTCAATACACAGACTTTTCTTTGTTATGTGCTTTGAGTAATTTGGAAAAGTTAATCGTTTTTATATGTTTTAAGTTTGTTTTTTTTTTTTTCAACAGAGGAGTGATTTTTTCACTTTTTGTTAAGTGCAAGTTTATAAAATGGAAAATGTATATATGAATGTATATAATTTCTTGCACATAATATACTTTTATATTCTCATAAAGCCTGGACTTTAAATAAGCAGATTAACAAATTTGTAATGCGGATTTTTTCTTAATTGTTGTTTAGTGCTGCCAACTAAAGCTTTTTTATAAATTTGAATTAATTGTTTTTATACACATCACCGAAGCATGAGGGGTATATGTATTTTCTCAAAACGTTTGCATCGCGTAAGCGGACGCTTCAGAGACCCCTTGAGGTATATATATTCTTGATCAGTATCAAATTCTGAATCGATCTAAGCATGTCCGTCTTTCCCTCTATGTAATGTCTGTTGGAAACATTCTTCTGGCTGGAACAATGACGCTATCAACTTCAAATTTGTAAAATAAGTGACCTAAACTTTTCAAAAACCACAGCTATGTGACCAAAACTTTTTTTTTGAAAATACAAAAAATAGCCGCGCCTTCTTCATGTAATAGAATATACAAACTTATATATTATCTATATATTTAATATTATATAGGATAACCGTGATGGGTAAAAAAGATTCGGTCATGACCGAATATAATTTTCTTACTTGTTTATGTTTCTGTCGTTTTCTCTCAGCTGTCAAAACAGGAACTGTTATCTGTTAATATGAAGAGAAACGACGCGATTGGCTCTCATGAATATAATCATAACTATATGATATCACCAATGGGAGAAAATATAAGGAGTCCGTGCGCGAATAGGAAGTTTCTCATATCACAAGTAGTTAACACATAAACCCCGCCCGCTCCCTTGCATTTATGTGATATGTTTTAAGAACTAAAATAAATAATAACAACCAATAGCAATAATAAAATTGCTGTGAAAATTAATAAAAGAATTTGTTCCACTTAAAAATACGACGCTTTTGCCTTTATAAATTATACCACATTTTGAAAAAAAAACTCTAAAAATAATACACACTTATAAAAAAACAATAGAAGATGATTTTTAAATTTGAAATAAATCGCTTTTATTTCTTGTTTTATGTATTGTAAAATAACATATGGTCTAAATTAAATTTTAAAATTGTACAATTAAGAGAAGATTTAAAATTATTAATGATACCAGAAAAATTTGAAAACTTATTTTTAAAATTGAATTAAAATAAAATAAATAAATATTACTTCTTCTACATATTTACATGCGTTGATTTATATTAAAAACCGTGCGATTTGCTAAAGCAGGCTGTATCTAGTAAAATTTAAAGCAATTTTTCATGCGTGATATTATCAACACATTTCCACCATTGCTTGTATTGTGTATCCTTCGTCGTAACAAAAACGCTACCGTTAGCAGCTTTTCAATTCGCACAGTGGCTAGACCTATTTCTTTGAAGACTATGAAAAGGTATAAAAAGGTGTACGCTATCGTTATGTTACTTCTGACTTACAGATATTTGACAAATTTAATACATCTCTATTGTGCATTAAAAGAAAGAAACTATGATGGCAACACTGTAAACGCCAAATTGTTTAATTATCGTTAGGCGATTATATGATTCAAAAGCGATAACTTTATTCTACTTACGGTAAGCCATCAGTGTAGCAGGAAAATTGTCGCTACATTGTAAAACGGCAGCATTTTAAAAAGCTTCAGCTATTTGTAAGTCAAAAAGCAATTTTTTTAAATCTCTATGATTTATTAAAATAAAGAATTCAACAATCAAAAGTACGACGAGGTTGTCAACAAAAATGGAAATAACACATACATTATATTCGAAAAAAATGGTTTCAATTGAGATACGTTGGAATAATCATTGGCAAGACTGGTCATTGACTCGCTGATATGGTAGTATTTGAGGTTATTACATATCAAAATTAAAAAATAAGTTCGTTGCTGTAAAAGAATTTATTGAACTCATATTTTAGATTTACTTTTGATGGCTTTTGTAGGTATTTTTTTAAATACATTTTTTTACTAAGCATACAATTAAATGTAAACGCATTAAAATATTTTATTAGAATTTTGAATATTTTCGGTATATAAATATGGATAAATAAACCAAACATTAAATATCTACTAATGACAGCTATAATCAGTTTTATAATTGAAAATTAACTTTCTCTGGATTATCTTAAATAAAAGGTAGTATAAATCAAGATGATAATAACTTATATTATATATTTAAAAAGTTAACATTTAAATTGTAAACGTGTAAAATCTCAGAAAAACGTTATGAAAAGTTTTGAAAATGTGTGAAATGTTTTATATCAACATTACAGAAGTTATAATGGCTGAATATTGTTTTAGAATTGCCAGCTTGGAAAACTTAAAAAATTTACGTTACTTATTCTAGCTTAAACTGTTTTATTTCTTTTTAGAAAAATTAGTAAATATTATTCGTTTATGAAAAGAAATAAAATTATACCGCGAAAGTGAATGAAGGAAAAAAAATCTTTTTAATTTTTATTTTTGCTTATTTAAATGTAACTAGGTTTTAATTTTTTGTTTTATTCCATGGTGTATCAATTTATAATTCACTGTTGCATAAACTGCTGTGCTGATAGAATTTTTATCTTAGCTTGTGATTATTGCGGAGAACGGTCTGAGAGTATAATTTACTTTGCTGTACATTTCTTAAAATATTTTTGGCTTTGCTGAGAACAAAATTCTATTTCTGAGAATAAAATTTACTTTCCCGTAAATTTCTTAAGAAAGGTGTTTTTGGCATTACTGAGAGTAAAATTATTTTGTTTACATATATTTTATTATTCTTTTTTTTTCTAGACGAATTATTTAGTTTTATATACTAAGTTCGTATTTTTTAAAAATTCACGTATTAAATTAATAATAAAAAATTACCCAAGTTACCTTTTCTACCTATCCAATTACATAAAACTAAATTAAATATAATTAATAAATAATATAGATATATATAACATATTTATATATAAAACAATGTTACGATTTTAAGTATAAAGGAATATTATTATTATACGACTACGAAAAATTATTCAAATTTTTGAAATTTTTGAAAGATTATTTTTATCCAATTTATCAAACCTATTCTAATTCAACTCATTCTTATAAATTTACTGAAAATACAAATAAAATAAGATAAATTTTTCAATCTCCTGTTATATATTTTATTCTATAATAAATCACTAAAGTTCAAAAAAAGTAAATATTGATACAAAATGTAAAAATTAAACTTATTGCCTATGCAATCCCTGTTCATTTCCTTTGATTGCTTATGCAGACGCAACGTAGCAAAGTAATAACTCGCATATAGTCTTTACTTTTTTAAATGCAGTGAATTAAGTTCATACATAATCTCCGTCCTCTCTTATTTTCTTCTTATTTTTTTTTGAACTTCCGAACGGTGAGCTTGTGTGGCGAAACGGCGAAATAATATACATAAATATATTTAATAAAACGTGTACTATAAATGCTTCTACATTATTGTTAATATTAAAAATATAAAAATCTTGAAAAAATATAGTAATGATACCTTTAGCTATTTGCCGATGTTATTAATTATTACATTGCTTTAAATTCATTTAAAATACGACTGAGTTATATACGTGTATATATATATATATATATATATATAAATTAACATATATATATATATATTTATATATAATATATATAAGCCTTTTATTAAGTAAACGCTGTTCAACAGAATTATTCATTATAATAATTTAGTTATTATTTAATAAAGTATCATAATAATACGTGAATTACAATACAACGTCACAAAGTCAGGCATTAGCGAAAGTGAGTGCATTAATAAAAACTATCGCATACCAGGCAGGCAATAAGAAAAATAAAAAGAGTTGTTGGTGGAGGCAGAAGATTATGTGGAAAAACACTAAAGAGTGAATAAATGAAATAAGAATTAAATATATGCGAAGAAGAATAAAGCTTCCAGAAAGTGTGTATGTGTGTGCATGTGCAGTGTAAACTAAACGCAGATTCTTTTTATTAAATAATTGGCCTCGATTTAAGTTAAAAAAAAAAAAGAAAGAAAAAAACAAACGCACAAATTAAACTCAAACCGCAATGTCGTCAATAAACAAATTTACGAAAGGCTTATCTGTAGATGAAAAGGCAGAAATACAAGAAAAATTCATAGAGGTAAGTGACCGTCAAATTTGAAAAGAACTGCAAAAAATTAAAGTTTCATATCGAACTAAATAATAAAATTCCAAAAGTATGAGTCACTGAAAAAGATTTTACGAATGTGCACCATCAGAAGCAGAGACAAGAAGCAATCAGTTGAATGTGTTTTCTTACAGAAATCAACATTAGCTAACGTGAGAAAGTGTGCTTCCAATTCTGTGACGTATTTAACGTAACTGTATGCGTAGTTATCAACCCCAATTTAAGGATTTCTTTGTTCATTTTCAAGGCTGAGTCGTTACTTTTGTACGATGCGTAGTATTTAAGGGTGCGGGCGAGAATAACTAAATGAAGATGGATCGATGCATGTAAGATATGCGACCATGGAAATTTGGATAGAAATGCAACATATAAACTAACAATATGTCTGCAAACATGGCCACTTGGGTGTTGCCGGCTTATGCTCATGCCGAGGCTGTGTAAAAGACGCAATCTTTTAAACACACATATATACACGTAAACGTTTAAGCAGTTCATAAAATGCATTACGCATCCTTTATAGAACGTCGTGTGTGGGGGTAAATTGTATACATATAAATATACATTTATCATATTATTTATAACCACATATCTACACAACATGTAACAATCCATTTGTACATGAATGTATTATATCTGGGTGCCCCAAGCCCCAAGACCCAAGCATAGGAAGGCTAAATGAGTTCTTCGTTAGTAAATCTCTGTTGATGTGAAGGGTTTTTTTTTTTTTTTTTCTTTCTTTACTTTAACTGAAGGAAAATTATGCGAAGGGACCTAATAAAAATACGGTTGGTTATTCCGTCTATATACAGCGGTACTAATTTGTTATGGCTTTCACTTTTTATGAAGTGATAATGAGATCACTATGACTCAACTTATGAAGTTTTAATGTTAATTTCTGCATACATTTGCCGCCAGGAATTTAATAAAAAGAATTTTCAATTTTTTAAAATCTGTTTTTCATCAAAGGCTGCAGATAACGGCTTTTTTTTTTTTTTGCCCCCAAAACGTAAACAACCAAACAATCACTTTACAGTCAATAATGATGGCCATTCATGGGCAATAAAATGCTTATAAGTACCAGCACTTATATCTCTGTATCCCAGGCACATTCGTAAAGGCATTAACCTCTTGTGAGCGTTTTGCGGCTGGCATGCAATCATTGAATTCTCTGGTATTTATTTAAAGCTGAGCGGAGATGGCGGTTTTATGATAAACATGCATTACATATTATTGTGCTACACGCCTGCGTTTAATGAACGTGCAATGATTTCATTTTCTTTTAATTTTTTTTATTTATTTATTTATTTATTTTTTTCTTTACATTATTAATCGTATGCATTGTTCATTCGCCTTATGTTGTATTAATGGATTTGCGCCTTTTGTAGATGTCAGTCAATGAATATGCTGGTAAAGCGTTACAATTCACTTGACACTGTGCTTCACTTTTGTATGTACATATTCATAAAATGATGTCATATTAAGAAATAAGTAGAATAGCTTGCCTTCTTCTTTCATATGATGAGCGTAACTTTAAACTGTACATTTATTTCAATTTAATTCTTGATTGGATTTAAATCCTGAGCGCATATGTCAATCTATTCATTTTTAATCGTACGCATGTGTGTGTGTGTGCCTACGCCTGGCATTCTTAAAGTCATAAAAATTGAGATTGTTAGTTTTTCAAAACTTACACTTTCGTTCCTAACTTACGAGATAGTGTAAGTGATATCACTCCATAGTTGGCCACAAATCGAAAATGCCGCAAAAATCCTTTGGAAAAGTATTATTGATTAATTTATTTCCTCGCTCTCACAATAAAAATTGTAGAAAATTTTTACTTGCTATCCTAAGGTGTATACATTGCGCCCAATTGCAATCATAATTATCCCAACTAATTCCATCTATCAGGCTATGCAAGCATTAATTCAATGAAATGAATTTTCAAATTTTCATCTCCTTGATATTGTATTGCTTTTAAATTTCTTCATAGACATGTGCTATATGTATTATATATGTGTGATGTGATATCGATCGGCCACATACAGTCCAGGTTACGGCCATTTCCTATTCCTGTCTCTCTCCCCACTTGTTCGTAATTGTCACAGTGTTACAAATGTAGGTGGTCTACTCTGACGAATTACTCATACAAACATATGCTAAACGAATAATGAAACGATGTTACATCAGTTAAGATCAGTTCCGCGACATATACATCATTTAAATTTGCTGTTATTCAAATTGGGACTATACAAGGTCGTGCGTACATCATCAGATATCAGACAAAATTTATGCATTTGACGCCTTAAGTCCGTTGGACAATGATAAATAATAATCTATACAATATAAAACAAGTAAGAAATTTATATTCGGTCGTGACTGAATCTTTTACACCCATCACCGTTTTCCTAAACAAGACAAAAAAAAGTAAAAGGATTACATATTCATGCTTTATAATATGAAATGGGCGTAGTTGATTTCTTGTATTTTCAAAGTAAACATTTTTGTCGCATAGGCGTGTGGGCGTTGTAGGTGGGTCATTCGAAAAGTTTAAATCACTTCCAAATTGTTTTTTTTTTTTTTTTTTGGAAATTTGTTGACGGTGTATTCAGTTTCGTTAACGGGAGAATGTTTACCACAAATACGCGCAGACAGACAGCTAGACTGGCGAATAGACGGACATATTTAGATGCATACCAAATTTGAAAGTGCACAAGAATTCAAATACTTTGAGGAATTTTTGAAACTTGTTTCTGCACCTTGGGTGCGGCCCTTCGGGGAGTACTCGTGGTGGTTGTGGTTGGTGAGTTCCTAGCTAAAATGGAACAATTGAGTGCAGCTAGGCCTCGCCATTGACCAGAGTGGGGTTTATTGTTCCATACACAATAAACTGTTCTGGACTCTGGTGCTGTTTAGGCCCCTACTCTGTGGGGATTGTCTAACTCGCCAGGGGGCGTAGCACGCTTAAAGAGGCTTGGGCCATCGTGGGGTTAAGCCTTTCCGGCAGGAACCCACGTTAAACCCTTGCCACAAATTCTGCACCTTATGAAGGTATTGAAAAAAAAAAATTAAATTTTGATACCTTATAATATTGAGTAGGCGTGGGTAATTTTTTTTCATTTCTATACACTTACTACGGCATCGCCTATAGAATATGCGTTCAATGTTTTTATGGTTTATGAATAATGAGCAAAAACCTAATGTTTTTATTCATTTTGAACAACAACAGAATTGTTCCTACTTTACGTATTGCTGTGGACGCGCCCTTTTATCAATTTGACCCACTTTCAATACCAAGCTGAGTGCAAGAATTTCCAGCGTTTATGCTAAATTTGAAATCGTTAGTTTCATTTTTACGGCCGGGAGACGGACGAACGGACAGACGGACGGACATGCTTAAATCGATTCAGAATTTGATGCCGATCAAAAATATTTATACTTTGTGGCGCCTCTGAAGCTTCCTTTTTCGCGTTGCCAAAGTTTTCACAAAATGAATATACCTACCATACTTCGGAGCTGGGTATAATAAATATCGTGCACGTCACGATATGATAGATTAAGTTTTCCCTTACAATACCGACATGGGGATTGCTTACAATTCGATATGTGTAGCAAATAAAAGGAGTTGGGGAGTAGATATAGATAGACTATCATGATTATGGTTGTAAAAAATTCGGTCGCGACCGAATGTAATCTTTTTACTTGTTCGTATATAAAAATGTATAAAATTTAAAATAAAGGAAAGTTGAAAATTTTCCTGTAAATTTGAAAGCTTATCAAACCCGTAATTAGATTACTTGCTTAAAGAATTTTTTGAAAAGAGAAAGTGAAGCTTTTTTCAACAATAATACAATGAGTTGAAAAACATTTAACCTCATATATAATATAATATGTATATGTATGTATGTGCATATATTATATATAGAGCGTAATATATGAGAGAATAGCATGAAAGCTATAAAGGAGGGGAAAATCTAATTTTAAGGTACAATTGCCGACAAAAAAGGGCGGACCGTTGCTTTTCATAGGCATCTAATTAAATTCAATTATACAAGTATTAATTAATTTCGCTTTCATGAAAATTATGTACAGCTTTAATCATCAATTCAAGTTGAATGTTTAAACGAAACACGATGCCTTGATCTTGTTGACGTGTATCCGATAATTACTTTGCTTATAATCGTAATCGTAATCGTATATAGTAATTAAGAAGGATTCATTGGTCGGACGTAGGAAGAAGCTGCATTGAGTTTGTCTGATTATTTTTGGCATCTCAATATCGTACGTGTATTATGCGACTTTCTAAGCATCTCGGAAAGATGTGTGTAACTGTACGCATACAATTTAATTTCAAAGTTTGGAATTTTTTAGTTTAGCGCGGCAATTGTTGAAAACAGTATGCATTATATTTTTAGCGCAATATTTTATTGATCGCCAGGAACTACTTTGACAATAGTTTCTTAGATGAACCTAGGAAAGACATTTTAGATAAATATTTTTTACATACTGTAAATCAGGAATGGGCAATCATCGGCCCGGTATGTTTAAAATTTAAAATAATTCAATTTGCTCGCACATAGCACTGCTCCAAATGGATTATGTGGATTATTATTCACTGCAGACCCTTGTTCGGGCTTCCGCCTTGACATGAAAATTAAAATTTGCCCATTGACGAAAAAAGTTTCCCACTGCTGCTGCAAATAATAATTTTTGTTTTACCGTTAAATTAGTCGATTTGCTCACTAAGGTCTCACTAAGTTACTCGATTGATACCAATTTATGTGTATACAAATTTCAACCCCATCATTTATCGATCCCAATCTGATTTGCGGCGAATCAGTTAAGAGTGCGTGTGACAGACGATAAGCTGATTTATAGGAGTCAAAATAATATTCGCTGACTCGCTGAGTATAACTTAGGTAAACTGATATCGCATTCAGATCAAAGTAAAGCTTTCACCTTTTTTTTTTCTTGTT